GCATGGACGAACGCACGGAGACACAGCACAAGACCGCAAACACACACACACACAAACGAGAGAGGAAGGAGAAACTCAAAGAGGATGCGGGTGGGTATATACGCAATAGGAACGAACCGAAGCGATTGCAGGGGGGTTCAGCTGCGCGGCCCCCCAATGCATTACGACTGCTGTTCCATAGCCGCCCACCGTGCTGCTATGCCAAGCTAAGACCCTTTCGTGCGTCACGGGCCGGGCACTCGAGCAGGACAGGGCGGCCCCCGGGCGAAGCTCGGCTGAGAGCGAGGGGAGGAACGAACGCACGGAGACACACCACAGCCCCACAAACAAGCACACAAACACTAACACACAAATACACAAAGACACAGAGACACAAACACACAATACTACCACACGAACGAGTGAGGAAGGATGAAAGACCCAAGTCACCCCGAATGGGCTCCTGGCAATAGCCACGTAAACAAAACAATCAATCAGGTGCCGTGAGCGGCAAAGTTTGACAGCACTGCTATTGTGTTCCAAGAACCGGGCAAACAGGCTGCAGAAACGAACAGGATAGGGCTCGGCAGCGCGCGTCCACAGTTTGCCAGAAGTTCGGCTCACCCCTGTGAACACGATGCCTCTTTTACCTGTGAAGCCACACGCACCACAGCGCCCACAGCAAAGCCCACGAAGCTTGGTGGTGAAGCTAGCCCCCCAGACCTGGACCCGAGTTCTTCCGCGCTGCCCGGCGCCGAAGGAAGAGTCATCCACGACGCGGGCTTGGCCACCCCCTCGAGAGGCGAGCCCGCGGAGAGGGGGGGCCTGCCATATCCAACGGAAGCGCGGCCTCTCCAAGGCCACGGGGGCCCGCAAACGGCAGCAGGTGCGAATGAGAGAAAGGTAGCATCTAAGCCGAGAGTTCCCCCGCTCGCAAGCCGCTCGAGCTCGCGCGCCGGGATTCGAAAGGCCCCAGACGCGGGAGGGCGCCGCGGAGTCGGCGCCAGCTGGACTCTTGGGGTCCGCGCCGAGCCGGAGGCCGGGGGCAGCAAGGAGTGCCCGCCCAGAGACCGACGACCGCCCCTCCCGAAGTCCACCCCCTCATCGCGCTGTAAAAAAAACACGACGGGTGGTTTTTGGCTATTTTCGGCCTCTGGGGGCCCTCGCCAGGCCGAGGGACCGTCAAAAAACGGTTCAGGATGAAAAACCGGCCCTGGGGAATGCGTCTGGACTTCTGGGGGGGGGGGCGACATGAACAAATCATGACGTCGGGGGTCTGGGTCAAAGTCTTCTGGGTGCCGATTTAAATCGAACCAGGGCGGTCTCAAGATGTCAACAGGACTCGCCCCGATCCAGAGAAGTCGCACGGCCTTGGACAAGTCAGCATCCCCGGCGTGCAGCTCCAAGAAATCACGTTCTCTGAATACGTGGGCACCTCTGAGAGCCCGGCGCAAATCTCGGCGAAGACCGATTCGAATGTCAGCACCGCTCAGCGATGGGGGCGTCGGCAACGGTGGCGCTGGTGGGAGCGCCTCGCCGAGCGCGAAAGTATCGCGGATGCGCCTGGCGATCTGGCGCCCGTGATCGAGCGTCGCCACAGGGGCCCCGTGCAGTTGCACCAGCGCGCGCGCCTCCTTTCCGCGCCGCTTCAGCATGGGGCCGCTCCGCCAGTGGCCGCGCGAATGGGCCTCCCGCGCGGGCCGCGACCTCGCCGGCTGGTCGCGCGAAGCGCCGCCGTGCCGCAGGCCGTGATCGGCGACGCCCATGCCTGGCGGCCCAAGCGCCCCGGCCGACGCCTGGAATCGGCGTCGTCAGGTCACCGCGCGGGAAGCTCCAGATCCGATGCTGAGGCTGGAGGCACCGGCGCCGCGGCATCTCAGAGCAGTCGAACAGGAAAGGCGCGCCGTGCAGGACCGCGTTTTCGTCGAAGGCGCCGACCTTGGCGAGCGCGCCTAGCTCGGTCGGCCCCGGGGGCAGGGCCTAAGCCGCCCCGCCGAAGCCCGCCCCCGTCACTGGGCCGATGAGTTGCAAGCGCGCGCGTCGCGCTCTCCCGGGCGGAGGTAGGCGCGGCACGACAGCAGAAGCGCGACCGCGTGCTCAGCGAGCCCCCGCTGCTGCACGTGCCCCGCGAGAGCCGTCGCCAACGTCCGCGGCGCTGGCAACCCAGTCGCCCTGGGCGCCACCTTCGCCCGGCCAGGTAGCGCCCGAGCTGCGCGGAGGAGTGTCTGCGCCCCGTGGCGGCCGACCTCGGGGTAGAAGTTCTTCGCCGCTCCGAGAGTCTCGCCGGCGATGCCCCCCGAGCGCGCCAGGAAGAACAGCTTGTCATGTCCACGTGCAGCGCCAGCGCCCACGCGAGCTCGCGCGCCGCGGGCCAGGCGACCGCCGCCCCCAGTGCCCGCGTCGCGAAGGCCAGCGCCCTACTCTTGCAGTCCGTCGAGGTCGCGGGCGCGACTGGCCGAGACTCGAGGAAAAGGGCCCGGGGCGAGCCTGGGGGGAGCGCCGACTCGTTCGATGGCACTCGGCATCGGTCTTCCACGGCAACGGCAGCCACGACCTACTCGGCGTCGCCCACGACGCGGGCGCAGGCAGCAGGGTCGTCGTCTGGCACGGCCGACTCCGAAAAGAAGGTTTGGGGGGGGGCGCGGCGCGCATAGCCGGCCCAGGGGGTGCGCCAGCAACCGCGGCCAGCTTGCCCGGCGCTATGCCCCCCTCGTCCTCCTGTTTGATGAAGCGCAGGCCGCGGGAGGGGGCGTCGGCGGGGCCCCTCGTCCGACGGGGGCCAGCGGGCGCGCGCGCGCAGCCGGCAAGCCAGGACGGGCGCGCATAATACCCCCTTAGGATATCCCGAAGTTGACGCGCGGCAGAGCGGCCCATCCCAGCGGCCGAGCACGGCCCGGGCTATCCATCCGGAGCAGAATCCGACGTCCAAAGGCCCCTCGATCTCGAGATAGATGACGATGCGAACTCGAGAGGGCCAGCTCCTCAAAACGAAGGACGTTCGCCGGGGCCCGCCAAGGAACGGACTCAGCGATGCGCCGAGCCTCACGCGGGCTGAGTGAAGTCCGCGTCGACCACGTCGAAGGCCTTCGCGCTCTCCTCGGCCTGCCGCAAGCTGCCCTAGCGCCTGCTCGAGATCGGCCTCGCCCGCGACGCGGCGGCTCCCCGGCGGCGGCGCCGGCGCCCAGCAGCGCGGCCCCAGCGAGTGACCTGCTCCTTCGGCGCGCCCCGCTCGCGGCGCCACTCGCGGCGACCTCGCCGCGCCGCCCCGCGTCGGCGGGGGCCGCTGGCGGCACGGGGGCGCCCTTGGTCTGCCAGATCCCCCCGTGCACAAAGCCCCAGAGCGCGCCGACTGGATCGCTCATGGCCTTGATAAATGGGTAGGCCGACCTCAGGGTCGAGGGGCGCGACCGCTGAATGAGCATGGCCCATGCGTCCATGTGGCGCGGCAGATGACAATCTCAAATCGCGGCCCGAGCAAGGGCCTCGCTGCAGATGTTCTTCTGGCGCCAACCGCAGACGCCACGCGCGACGGGCGGCAACCATTGCCGCGCGCCGCTCGCCGTCGAAGCCCAGGCCCGCGAAGTCGGTCTGGCTGACCGCGACGCCCGTCTCATCGTGGACGACGATGACCTGCTTGGCCAAGGCAATGCAGACATCCTGCCCGGCCTGCGAGGCCCGCGCCCGCTGCCGGGAGCGAGACGTCCCCGTCCTCGCGGATGAGCAGTCGTCCAGGGCCGATGCGATACCAATGCCAGAGAAAATCTGCGTTGTCGTCGTCGAACCACTCCACGGAAAAGTCGTGATCGGGCGACACCACTGCAGCATGGCTTGCATTGGCGCCAGACACCCCGACAACCACACGCCCATGGAGTACAGGAACACCAGGAAGGTCACACTCTACATACAACTCATCTCCGATGCACTTAGCCGAAGGGCGGGAGTGAGCCTGCCGCGGCCACCTGGCAGCCGACGGTCACCGCGGAGCTGCATGGGAGCGGTGTCAGCCACGACCTCCAGCGAGAGCAATTCACGGCGCCCCCAGCCGCGCCAGCGGCCCAGCAACCCGCGCACCGCGGACCAAATTGAAGAGCTGCCAGAACACGTGCGTGATACAGCCGAACGAGACCTCGAAGCCCCAAGAGAACTCGGAGTTGACTCGGGGCAAGCCGGACAAGGGCCAGGGCACTGATGCAGGACCACGGGCGCTGGCGCTGGCAAGCACCTGTCCGGCTGCACGCGCAACTCCGAAGCCAGCGCGGAAGTCGGCGGCGAGGCCGCCGGGCAACTCCGCGCAGGCGGAGCCGGAGCAAGCGCCGCCAGAGGCAGCGCGGGCGCCCGGGGAGGCGCCGCAAGGACGGGCGGCGCCCGCGAGAGGGCCCACCACTGGCTGAGCCACGCCGGACCCACGTGGAAGGCCAACAGCGCGCCGCCGCGGGCCACCTGGCGCACGCACGCCGCACGAGAGGCCCGGCGTTCGGGCGGCCGCCTCGCGAAAAAGGCTCGAGCCGAAGCGATGGCAGGGTGCAGCCGCGCGGTCCTCCAATGCTCTACGGCGACTGTGCCAGGCCGTCTATCATCCTCTTCCCGCATCCTGCCTTCTCCCTCCTCCCACCCCTACACCCCCTCCTCCTCACCGCTCTCCCTCGTGATCCTCCTCCTCCTCCTCCTCCTCCTCCTCCTCCTCCTCCTCCTCTTCCTCCTCATCCGCCTCCTCATCCTCAATGTTTCAGTTCTCCATGTCCGTCCTCCTCCTGCCCCTCCTCCTCCTCTCCTCCTCTCTCCTCCCCCTCCTCTCCTCCAGTCCCCCCCTTTCATCCTGCTTCTCCTGCTTCCACTCCTGTCTTGTGCTCCTGCTCCTGCTCCTGATCCTCCTCCTCCTCCTCCTCCTCCTCCTCCTCCTCCTCGCTTTGTCGTTTACTCATCCGCCTCCTCCTCCTCATCCACCCCCCGTCTCTGAATTATCCCCCCTCCCCCCCTTCACCGCATCCCCCCCAGGAGCCCAAGAGGGTGTGGCTGCGCACCTCGTACCGGGACGCAGTGGCGACCGCCATTCTGCTCTCGAGGCGCCCTGGGAGTTCAGCGCCAAGGACGGAGACGGGGAAGCGGTCGCGGCGGCTTGGGCCAAATAATACCCGCAGTGGATGTGCAGGAGGAGGAGGAGAGGGGGCAGGGTGGAAGGAGGAGGAGGAGGAGGAGGAGGAGGAGGAGAAGGAGGAGGAGGAGGAGGAGGAGGAGGAAGGGAAGGAGGAGGGAGGGAACGGAGGGAGAGGGAGGGGAGGGAGGGATGGAGAGGGGAAGGGGGGGGGATGGGGCGGGGGGCGACATGCCATGCGAGTAAACATTCTTATGTCTGAAGCAGAACGCCCTGGCCGCCAGGTAGAGAACTCTGGGGGCCCACGCATCGAACACATCATGCAGAGCGCTGGATGTTTTGGATTTTGGCGTCGCTGCGGCTGCCTGGGCTGCTCGTGATCTGTCGGCGTGGAACGGTCTCGGTCTCGCCGTCGGCTCATCGGTGTCCTCAGCCGCGCTGTCGCCGTGAACGGTCTTGCCCGAAGAGGCGCCATATCCCTCCAGCCCTTCGATCCTTCAATTTCGACCCACACCTCGGATGCCTGTGCAGAGTCAGAGCAGCTGTTCTTCACGATCGTTCGGCCTCGAGGGTTGGGGCCGACTTCGGCCCCAGAGCCTGCCCAGAACGTCTCGGGGCGAACCAATTGGATGCTCGGAAAAGAACACCAACAGCAAAACAGGGGGCGCGTCCGCTGGGGGAGGATGACCCTGGTCTTCGGTGATGGTGGTAATCCTTCGGCGAACTAAGAGGCCGAAGGTCACCACCGCCGCCGAGGTCTGGACAATCTTCCCTCGGTGGCAGCACGCCGCCCACATTGGTGTTGGTGCTGACCTCGAAACCTCCGAACCAGCACATGTCTGTGCGGGAGGGGCCGATGGCACCGCACGCCATGTGTAGAGCGAGTGGTGTCGGCGGCGGTCTGGGTCAGGTCAGATCAACGGGCCCCCGCTGCAGCCGCTCATCGATCGCCCCCTGGCCGACCTCTGGCCCACACAACTCGCGCCCCAGGCGGCCCGCTCCACGACGACCCCGGCCTCCCAAAAAGGCCCTCCGCGAGGCGAAGCCGACCCGAAAGTCCCTCGCGCCGCGAACCAAGATCACGGCGCGCGGTTTTGGGCCGTGCTGTGTCTCTGCGGACTCTCGCCGACCTCCAGGGCCGTGCGTGGAGAAGCTTGTCTAACAACTTGTCCACGCAGTGCTCCACGGACGGCGTGTCCAAGGGCGGCGTGTCCACGGCTTGCCACGAGCAGTGACTGCCTTGTTCCACGACCTTCGCGCGCTTCGTGCTGCCAGCTGTCGTGCCGCTCGCTGCCGTGCTGCTACCATGCTGCCTAGCGCGCTTAATCATGGAGCGTTGCTGTCGCTCTTCCACGACACGCGGCTGAGGTGGCGCCGTGGGCGGCGTTGGCGCCTGCGTGGGCGGCGTTATGGCGGACCGTGCGGAAGTGGGCGCCAATCGCGGCTGCACTGGCCGCGAAACCAATCGCGGCGACATCGGCGCCAACTGGAATTGCGGCCTCGCCGGTTTCGGCGCGGACGCCTTCGACGCCGATGCTGGGTGCGGGGCGACCTCGACGCTCGTGCGTTCAACAGGTGGTTGGGCCTCCCCCGCGAATCACCCCAGGAACTCTGCACGAGGACAAGCCATAGAGCTGGGGCTCGCGGGCCCCGCGATGCAGTTCCCCCGGGCCAGCAGCATGTCTGAGGAGACTTGTCCCCCGTCAACAGTTGTACTGACTGACTGATACTTTCATTTACTCAACAACTGGTTACACATAATCAACCATATTTCGCCGATAGTTGGTGTTTTAAAACCTTGACCTAACTCAGCTATCGGGTGGGAAGGTTTATCGGATGCCGCGGTCGTTCCCGGGAGCTCGAGACATATTCGTCCCCATCCCAGGCCTGCCTGTCCACCCACTCCGAACTGGCCACACGGTGCCGTTTCTGGAATTCCTGAACCGAACAGCGTTGGTATTTCTTGCGGGCAACATGATTTCATTCCACTGACTTCCGCCAGCGGAGCCGAGCCCGTTCGACTTCCGCCACCTTCCGCCGTCCTTCCGCCGCTTTCCGCGGGGGAAGAGGTGCCAACCGATCGAAATCTTCGAAGGCGAAGCCCTTTCTGCGAGGCCATCCCCTCCTCTGGGGGCAGTCTTGCGCCACGGGCCCACGTCTTACAGCCCCAGGGCCCGACAGATCGAGAGCAACGTCCGACAGCCGAGACCGACGAAGGTGGGCTCCCACCTGGAAGGTCAAGCTCTCCGTGCTCGCCTGGTTGCTACCGCGCCACGGTCCTTGCCGACGGCCGAGACCGAAGAACACCGCCGGGACTGAAAACACACATCTTGTCGGAGGATCTGCCGCCGGCCTTCCGCACGCCTCCGCCGAAGGCAAGACGCGCCGAGGTGGCGAGGTCCTCTCGGGAGTGTTCCAATGAGCGCGCAGGCCTAGAGTCAGGACGGGCAAGTCCTCCTCCTGCATGCGGGCTCTGGAAGGCCCCCCAAAACAGAATCCAAACATGCTTCAGAATAGACGCAAAGTCGACACATCGTCCCCCGACTGTGTTTCGGCTATTCTTGAACACTCCTGCCGTAGAGGGACATGCCCGACTTCAGTGGGAGACACATACAACATAATCCAAGCATGTTCTAGAATAGACCAGGAGTCGAGACGTCGTCCCCCGACGATGCTTCGGCTATTCTTGAACACTCCTCCTGTAGAGGGACATGCCCGACTTAAGTGGAAGAGGGGACACTAATCATCCAAACATGCTCTGAAACAGACAAGACACCGAGCCATGGACCGAACTCGGCGGAGGAGGACGAGGAGAAGGAGGAGGAGGAGGAGGAGGAGGAGGAGGAGGAGGAGGAGGAGGAGGAGGAGGAGAGCTCACACCAAAAAAGCCGGCCACGACATCCCCGACGTGTTCTCACTCGATCGCAGGAGACCTCATGATCGAATCGAGCAGTGGGGCCCGCGGCGGGAAGGGCGGAAGCGGACGCGAGTCGGGCCTCGGCGAGATCGGGCATCGCAGGATGGCCCAGGGTCGTATCATGAAGTCGGGATCCTCGACATCGGCGAAATCGGAGGCGGAACGGCGGGAATCGGCAGCCGAGTCGGGAAAAGTCGAATCGGCAGAGATCGACGGGCTCGTAGACCTCCATTAAGACGTCGGATCCCGAATCGGAGTCCGAAGTCGAATCGGAATCGGAATCCATCGAATCGAGTCGCATCGGAGGAAGCGCAATGAGCCCTGCGATCGGGATTTCGGCCAGCGCGTATCTAGCTTGCTGGCAGGTCCACATCGACCTGGCCCCTAGCAGCCGCTAATAGTAGCCCATCCACACGTCGGTGGGCGGGGTGCGTGTCCAGCTTGCTGGCAGTCCCCCAGCGTCCTAGCCCCAGGCAGCCGCCGATAGTCAGTAGCCCATCCACACGTGGTGGGCAGGGTGCGCCATCCTGTCGGACCCCCCCCCCCTACGCCTACGGTCGGGAACTGTTGCTCACCGAGTCGCGGCTGCGGCCCCAGCGACACGCTATGCCCTGCGAGTGGGTAGCGTGTCGCTCCGCTCCGCGGGGCCGGCATGCCGGGAACTGCCCGCGACGCTGCCGCCTGGGAGCTGGGACGTGGATATATATATATATATATATATATATATATACACATACATATACATATATATATATATATATGTATATATACACATACATATATATGTATGTATATGTATGTGTGTATCGCACAGCGGCGTGGTGGGCCAGAGCCGGCGGAGCGACACGAGCCAAAATTCCTGGCCGTATCGCCCCCCTCCCTCACTAGTTCTGGGGGTACCTGTAGTCCGGGAAGGCACCTGTAGTCCGGGGGAGGGATACCTGTAGTCCGGGATGGGTACCAGTAATCTGGGGTGGGGTACCTGTAGTCCGGGGGAAAGGTAATTACCTGTAGTCCAGGGGGGGAACTGCAGTCTGGGGGGGAACGCGTGTTCACGCGTCAATGCACGCGTGGATGTAGTCCTGTGGGGATACCTGTAGTCCGGGAGGGGGTACATGTAGTCTGGGTGGGGTACCTGCAATCCGGGGGGGGACCTGTAGTCCGGGAGAGGGGAACCTGTAATTCGGGGAGGTTGTACCTGTAGTCCAGGGGGTATACTTGTAGTCCAGGGACCCAGAACTCCCCTGACCTTCCAGAGTGCTAAACAATAGCCCTCCGGACCTACAGACCAACCTGGACTGCCTAAAACCTCGATGCGAATCTAAATGTCGAGGTCCTGGTGCTATTTCTTAGCAATGGAGCTCCCTGTGGGGTTCGGTCCATGTGAGGAGACATTCGGCACACTTGTGGTGACGTAGCGTTCTGCGGATCCTCCCTGAAGGCGGATCACAAGAGCCCCATGAGGGCCACGAGCCACTGCGAATACTCCTTTCAGAGTCGCAGGTGAAGCCCGCTCTCCTGGGGGAGAGACACACAAGGAGAGGAGAAGGAGCAAGGAGGTCGAAGAAAGGAGGAGGAGGGAAACAGGAAGAGGCTGGACGAGAAGGAGGAAAATCCACCACCCAAACCCGACGATACAGTTCTTATTTTGCTACAGCACCATCTCCCTTCATCCCCATCGACGACCCTATGAGCCCTATGACCTTTATGAGCCCTTGGAGCCCGATGAGCCTTATGAGCCCATGAGCCCTATGAGCTTAATGAACCCTATGAGCCCTATGAGCCCTATGAGCCCGATGACCCCTATGAACCCATGAGCCCTATAAGCCATGTGAGCCCTATGAACCTTATGAGCCCTATGAGCCCTATGAGCCCCATAAACTCAATGAGCCGAGCCCCATATACCCCCCGACCCTCCATGACACCATATGAGCGCCGCGATGACCCCTATGAAGCCTATGCGCCCTATGAGCCCTAGAACCCCCTCAGCACTAGGAGCCGTGAAGCCTTGCGAACCATATGAGACCGCCCTCTGAGCCCTACGAGCCCAGTCAGCCGTATACGACCTATGGGCCCTATGATCCCTATGGCCCCGAAGAGCCTACGCGCTCTGTTAGCGCTATGGGCCCTATGGCCCCCCGGAGCATTGCG